TATCTTTTTAGAAAAATTATTGTAACTTATTAAAATGCATTATATATATTAATAAAATGAAAATATTAATTGTATTTGCTGAGTGTTAAGGAAGTGTCGAATATTGAAAAAATATTTTTATTACCATTCATCAGTATTTATACATGTTTGTATAAACTATTTTATTTGCACTTTCATTGTAAATCGTAAATTTTCTTCCATAAGTAGCGTACAGTATACTATGATTCGTAATCAGATCTTTCCGAGATTTCAGAAAACAGAATTGCTTTTCATTGTCACTTACACATTAATATTGCCACACATCCTGCACATATATCAACATTAAAATAAAATATGAAACTAAAAAATTATCATATACAATAAATTTCGGCAAAAAAACTATATAACTATAAGAATAATAAATGTAAATTCGCATGCCGTAAGATCTAACAAGATTGCTTGCGCATAATAATTTCTTATATAACTTATCTGTATACATTTATAAATACGATAACAGAGTGTAAATAAATCACGCCGGCGTTTACTTCTATGATAATACTCTTGAAACATTATTAACAATAATAAAAAGATTAGATGTTGCGCAATACCTAGCTTATATAATTGATAAAACAATGCCAATTGCCATTATATAAACTAAATAAATTATTTCTTCCTTTTTTGATACAATGTAAATATTAAAATGGATTTTCTTTTCGAGATTATAAAAATAAACAATTAATACATCATGTTTGACGCAGAAATAAACGACAGCGGTACTTATTCATACTGTTCCGGATGTTCAACTGAGTCAGTGCATATGTATAATACATTATGTGTATACATGTGTAATAATTTACGTTCTCACGCGCATATATATATTAGACAGCATATACATAAAGAGTATACATATCTGTTCCGTATATAATCACGCTGGCGAATACGCGTATCTAATTCGCGTATATTGTAATCGTATTTAATAGAGGACAGATATCCAAAATATTTCGTTAAATCAATTATTTACGTACAATAATAAAATATATATCGGATATATCATTTTTTTTACGTTGAGAACTTAAGTAGATTTCAGATCACTTTTCACTTTTAAATGTGTGCGTGTACGCTCTTTTCAGCGCTTATATATACACGAAGGACCAAGCTAATCGGTATACCTAGGAGAGACAAAAATTCAAAAATATCTGTCGAAAGAACGAGTATAATATTTGACACATGATTGACTATACAAGAGTTATATATAATGCGTGCAATCGTTCTTAATCGTTACATGTACAATATGGCAGACCTAAAAAGTGGTGCAACTCTTTAATATAATGATAAAGTCGATATTAAGTAAGTCACTCTCTCACGCAAACACTCTTGCACGTATGTAGAGACGGTGATTACATACATTTTTTTTTGCATATATTTATATGATTATAATATCTCTGTAAATAAAGTAAATAATTCTGCAATGCAGAAAATTGTAACAATATATTTCATTACCTCTTTTTTATTTTCCTTTTCGTCGTTTTGCTCAATGGTACCGATACCGATCTTATCGGTATTTATGTAAATGTATATACGTATCCATTCATCGATCCTGCAGGTTTGAACTGTAAGTTGTCTTCTTTTTTGCAACGTTAAAAATCTGCAATTTATTCAACAAGCCTTGGCAGCGCGTCTTGAACGCACCGCTCTTTTCTCTCATCAACGTATTGCACATTGACATCCTAGAATATTCTCTGCGCGAATAGCATTTCTCTTAATACTTTCAACTGAGACAATATATACATGTAGCTCTCGTGTATCCGCATATCTGTCAATGGACGTGATTCTAGGCTACAGATATTCTTAACACTCTTTCTCACAATGCGACGAGAAAGACCGTTAGGAATATGATTCAATTTGTTGTCTTCTTCTCCTTCCAGGGATATACATATCGCGAGAAAGTAAATTTTGATTGCACATTTCTAATGCTATTACGTAGAGCCTACCGATAACAAAGCTTTATCTAAAACGGTAACGCGGCCACACCGCACTACGTTAATATTACATAAGGCACATTTATGCGAGAGAGTTGTACAGAATTTCGACAGTGAGAGGTGTGTCGCGCGAGAAAAAAAAAAGGAAGACACATTGCCAATAATCGTAAATTTTCTTTGATGACGTCTTCGGAAAGCTTCGTTTAACGAATACTCATGATTTTCTTTTTCGCGCGATACCTTTCTTCAGCAATTAGCTCTAAAAATGCGCGTAGATATATCATTGCGTTTAAGTTATATTAACGTCACATTCTCGCGCTGCCACCTCCAGAGACGGGGAGGTGCCAGCGTAGTCGTAAGTACTGGGAAAAACGCGAACAACATTTTATCGTCGCCGCGAGAAGAGAGAGAAAATAAAATATATTTCGGACATATTACGCGCGCGTGCTACAACAAGATCCCCTCTCCCCATGGGGGAGTAAAAATAATTCAGTAAGTCAACGTTTATATACTAAAACTACTGCTAGCGTTGCACTGAAGTCGAATTGCGCATACCTGACTCGCGTCCAAAACAAGTCCGGAGTAATCCCGCGTTTCGTAAAAAGACGTGCAGATTCTATATAAAATGTATATTTATATGTATATATTTATTTAATTATATATATATATATATATTATATATTTTATATATATATATATTTAATTTTTTACATAACATATATAAAGTACATTTTGTATATGTATATATATGTGTATATATATATATATATATATATATATATATATATATATATATATATTCACATATACACGTCTCATAGTATTCCAAATCTCCATATATATTATGCTAATGCACCTCGCAACGCTACGTTTTGCGAAGTGAGACAATGATTCGTGCCGTCGATGGCTACGAAGTGGCTCGGATTCCAATCAGCGACGACTCCGTCGATCGCCGAGACGATTGCGCGAGAGAAACTAACGTTTCCGAACATTAAGAGGATACAGGATGATGGATAAGCTTGACGAACGGGGCTGGTGACGCGGACGGACGGCGAAGGTGGTCGGCTGGTTGGTGAACCGATCGAATCGCGGGATGCTGTTCCAGAGTCCAGGTGTTAGCACGGGGCGAGTGGATATCCATTGTTAGCACTCCAAGCCTACAGGCCACGGGCAACCGGGGTTAACAAGAAAGAAAAGAAAAACAGTTTGTTAGTAATCTGATTATGACTGACCGACGTTAACATTAAGTATCTAGTAGCTCGCCAGCTGAGAGAAATATAGTTAGTGGTGAAAAGCAACGCTTCCATTTCCGTGTGCGATATCAATTCGTATAAATAAATAAATAAATAAATAAATAAGAATGTCGGTTAATGTTTTTACGTGTTTTTCTCCTTTCGTGAATCGTCAAAAGGTTGATTCTTCGCGAGAGAGAGGGAGCGTCGTCTTCCGCCGATCACGCGAGGAATCATACTCGATCGGATCGGGAAGACTTCGGCGACGAAGCATTGCTTTACACCAGCTACTTGTAATATTATTAGTGTGAAGCATTCGACTTGTACGCGCCATGACAAGATAAATAAATTCACGCGGAAAAAAAAAGGTGAACGGTTCACATATCAAGTTAGCATTTCATTATTTTCATTATTCACGAATGCCCATGACAATTAGGTCCGTCCGTTCTCTACGCTGATTCCGTACCCTTCCCGCGCGCAAAAAAGTCGTACAAATCGATGGATTACACATCGTTGTAATAACTTGCGTCAGGCTGGATGCACGAGTGAAACGAGGGCACGATACTCTGTCGGCTCCTAATTACAGACTTCTTACGAAGCGATTGCGTTTACCGTTATTACTCCGATACTTCACTCTTGCTGTTAGCTTACGACGGTGTGCTCTTTATCGAAGCGCACAGCAAAAAGACCGAATGACCAATCGATAAAACGATGAACGTATAAACACTGCCTTCGTATGGTAAAAAATTTGAATTAAAAAATTAATCGGTTATTTCGCCGGTGCATCCATCCCGCAGCGGTCGTAAAAGAACATAGCTGCCTGTATATGTCAGATATTAGCGAATAAACAAAACAAAAAAAAAAGAAAGAAGAAGAAGAAGAAGAAACGATCGAGTAAAAAGAATCGATGATCGATCACTATCTGTTAATCGCTACCGTTACACACGTACGTGGATTGCGTTATTTCCGAACGTTATAGCGATTTCTCAGACAGGCAGCCTGGGTGTGCACCTGCCACCACATTAACACCGGCAAATGAGAAAGATTATATAAACGAAATTCCGATTATTACATAGTTACGATGGTATTATTGTACCGATCACTATTGATCTTTAGTGATTAATGTCCCATCAGCAAGCAGGTGTCAGAGACTCATGAGTGTTGCATGTGCCATACAGAACAGATATCTGTAGTACAATTCCAGGCATTCTTAATTTTTTTTTTTTTAAAGAGAAGCGCATTTATTATTAATAGACGCTATTAAACAGATCTTTGTTTATACAGAATATAAAATAACGTAAGTTGTGGATCGAGTGATAAGTGGAGATTCGACGAGAAACTTGTATAAAAGAAGAGCCGTTTTTTGATTTTACAATTTATATCGAAAAATATGTATTCTACTACTATACAGCTACTCCAATACATCTATGTTTTATTAATAATAAGATTTCGAGATATTTTAGCAATTCATACAAATTGATTAATCATTTAATGATGAAATAAAATACGAAAATAATTTTAAATCAAAAAGAAAACTGTACAGTATTTTATTTTTATTAAGAGAAAATATATTCCTTAAGAAGACAAAATTTATCACATTTGTAAATCTCGCTGTTCACAAAACATTTTAATATCAAGATAGAGCAGTGATATACTTTAGCAAAACTATATTTAAAAAAATGTTATACATTCAACAAAATCTGTTTGCGAACAAAATTTGTCAAATTGAATGAGTTTATCTCAAATTCTATTTGTCCGTAATTATTGATTAAGCACAGTTTCATCGTAGAACCTTCCAATACTGATTAATCCAAAATGGAATATTCTTTGTGTACATACGAATCAGTGTATGCATATACTGTGCAAATTAAGTGCATTCGCGAATAAATTAAAAATAAATTAATACTGATTTTGTCGAACGGAGATCAGAACAAATATCTATAAATTTACACTCGTTCCTGCATTTACGTAAATTAAAAAGAATACTATATTTATTTTTAATTATTAAATCAAAATCTTTGTGTAAACAATTTGTATTATTTAATCTAAGATGTTCTAATGAATATACAAAATTAAGTTCTTTAAAATCTAAGACCACACCTCTACTCTAATTTGTAAGAATTAAACAAGACGCGATTCGGACTAAACAAAGAGATTATTTGCACAAACATATCTAATTCATATATGATGTATATGTTGTGTGTGTGTGTGTGTGTGTGTGTGTGTGTGTGTGTGTGTGAGACATGCGCGCATGTACGGATAAGCATGAGACAACTCGTCACAGGAAAGGAATGTTCTGCATGAAAATTGTAATGTAAGCAACTCTTATTAAAGACAATTGTCTCGCTTTGAAGAATGATTCTTGTTCCGTGTACATCCGCCCATCAGCGTCGATTTGTGTGCGTGTACGTATATGTTGAGCATTGTTGTTAGTTCTTTCTTTTTATAAAGATAGTGCAAATTGTGCGTCCTATATAACATGGATGAAATTGCATCTATGATAAGGAATGTCAATTATATATGTAAAAAAAATTACTTGTTAGTGAGATAAAATATGTAAAAAGGGCGGGAGAGATGCCATCTCTGGCAGCATTGTCCACACTTTCGCGATTTAATTTTAATTCTTTTTTTTTCTCCTTATAGCCGCGAATCCGACGTTAATCGTTAAAAGAAACACGAAGACGATATATGTATTTTCAGCAATTTATTAACGCGAACAAGGTAAAACGCAAAATGAAATATCAACGGAGTTGTAAGATTTTTCCGAGATCAAGTCGCGAAAAATAGAGATCTGCTGTAACAATTGATGATTTAAACTACCGACCGAATCGACGGCGTTGCGTAAAGACCTTCGCGATCGTACCGCGTTACCACCCCTTGATGTCAGATTCGCTCAACGGAAATGTGTATTTCTTGGGAGCAGGCGATCTATTAATGTCGGTTTCTGGATTGACGCCCTGTGCTTACGCGAGAATCTTTTGTAGGAAAACGAGTATAAATAAAATATAAGTATAAATAAAATTGTCGCGGATGCCGCCGGAAGCCTTCGTACCAGAGAGATCCCCGCGAGATTTTCTTGGCAAACGGCAATTCCGGACTTCTTCGCTAAACGCGCGTTATTAATGAGGAACCGGGAATAATAACGACGTCTTATCCCTCCGTGCAATCTCCGCGCAATATGAGAACGTAACGAACGCGATCGCAAAATTCCCCGCGTGAATCCGCATGCGTGTGCGAGTGCGCGACTTCCACAGAGATCCATGCGGCGAGCTGTACTTCACAATTTTCCTCTCGGCCGCGAAACTAATTATAGATTCCGCCTGACGCAAGGTGTTGTTCGCGCGCTCTATTTTCACCCGAGCGAATAGTCCCGCCGCGCAAAACGCGTGTCGGAACTGCAACCGCGAAGATACGCGCGGCACGGAGGGTGGCGCGCACCCACGTCACGTTCGCGATTCCGGCAACCCGATCTCCAGCATCTCCTCTCCCCTCCCCCCGCAACCCCGCGTGAAGACGGTACCGACTGACCGGAACGATCCAAAGGACGTACTAATCTTGATGGTACGGATCGGGGATTTTTCTATTTTCCTTATACCAAATTTTACTTGATTTCAAAAAAAAAAAAAAGAAAATCGGATCGCGTTGCTTCCTCGGACGGAAATCACGTCCGACGTCACTCGCGGCTGCGAGTCAGATTCCGAAAGAAGTTCGGCGCCCGCGTTTAATTTCGTTGCACGGTTCGTTTTAGACGCATGGAAATACCAGACGCACTTTCGACATTCCGACGAACGCCTATAGCACCCCGATTTCCCGACCCTAAGTCGAAGAACGAGTCTCTCTCTCTTTCTTTCGCCTCCCTTTCTCTCCCACCCGCACGTCAATCCATCCGCGCGCGATCCTGAGTCGGAGA